CCCTGCTAGGTCACACCCTGCCACCAGCCTACTGCTTGTGCTGGAGAGAAGCAGAGGGCCAACATCAGGGCATCCGAGAGAGATCAAGGAATTGAGCCAGCAAACTCACCTGCTCCGTGGGGGTGGGGGTGGGGTTCTCCCGTGCTGGCAAGGGAGGCACCCACTCATCTGAGAAGGTGGGGAAGTAGGCAGGCACAGACTGTCCATTGGGGTACTCTGCCCTGTTGGGGGAAGAAGAAAGCAGGTGTCACCTTCCTTCAAATGTTCATCCCAAATGGAGATGCAGTGAGCAGGAGCCAGGCTCGCTGAGCACAGCACACAGGGTCTCCCCAAAGAGCAGGGAGACTCATGGGGAAGTCAAGTCCAGCAAAAGTATCTTGGGACAAAGGCAAGTTCTAGCTCTGCTGTCCAAGTGGGTCTGGGTTGCTCAGCCAATAAAGTAACAGGCAGTCTCTGTTTCTCCTTGGAGGGTTTGGGTTTGGGTTCAAACCCAGCTCTAGCTGGCACCCCTGAGCCGGGTGGCATTTACCAGAATGCCCTTACCAGCCAATTCTTCTGCAGCAGGATACTGAGCAGAAGTGGGCTGTTTGTCTCAAAAGAAGCATGGAAAAAGAACAAAGCATTTGAGTATGTTTCCCACTATCCTTTGCTACGGGGGATGTTTGAGTGTTTTGCTTCAGAATGACATCCCAGTTGGGTTTGCTCTGGTTTCATATTCTAGAATATGCAGCAATGCCAGTCAGAAGTGGAGGAAAGCTTTTTGATTGCATGGACATGGGCCCCAAACAGCCTTTGATGGAACTGGAGCTTCAGGGAGCTGGACAATGCTTTGAATCGGAATGGAAGAAGTCTGAACTGGCAGCGTGCACCCTGCGGTGGAAACACCCTTCCCCACAGCACTGGTAGAAACACGTTCTGCCGTGTGTCCAGTGGTCACTTGGAATAAGCCGATGGCCCTTGTCACAGAAGCTGTCATCACGCTTGCCCTCCTGCCTTGTTGGCAGCCACACTGGACAGCCCAAGGAGTGAATGGGAAATGGATGCCAAGTACCTATCTTGGCCAAAGCCAAGGAAGTTCACAGGGTGGGGAGCTCACTTTGCTATTGCCTGTGGACTTCAACGTTAAAATCTCCTTGCATTGGAGAAGGAGGCTGCCTTGGACTGGAGTGGGAGTTACAGCTCTATCCTTGCTCACAGCCCTACCAGGGAAAGCAACACCCATGGGACACAGGTTTCATCTGGCTGCTCCTCTCCCTGCCTGCCACCCCAGCGTGTCCCACTGTTTGGCAAAGCTGAGCCCCTGATCACCAAGCTCTAGGCCCCCCACCTTGTCAGGGTCCAAGCCTTTCCAAGCGTCTTCCAGGTGGCACGATCCTCTCCCTCCAAATTCTCTTCCAGCAGGTCAATGGCTTCCTTGGTCAGCAGAGGCGAGATAGTGGAGGATGCCAGGTCAGACCAGGGACAACTGGACATAGTCTGTATGTGGAGAAGACAGGGAGGAAAAAGTTGGTTCAGCTCAATATTCCCTTCTGCTGCTGCTCTCTTCTCCTGCACGATTATGTTGTTCACTGAAGGAGCTACCGGTCCCCTGGGCTGGGTCTTGGGTGCCCTGTCCCACCCTGTGATGAGGGTATAGGATGCAGCATGTGTTAATGATGGGGTTTTGCAGGACCAAGGAGACAAGCCTAGGGGACAGCAGGGCCCTGCCTTTGGGTGGTTTTGTACCAGGGACAGTGCTGCTAGTCTTTCTGTGCCAGTCTGGGGGGACTTGGCCCTTGGGATCAGCAGGTGCTCTGGATGCTTTTCATTGCATTCAGCAAGCTGGACGCAGCTCCGTTGAAGCCAATGAGCTTGGCACCAGTCACAGGCCTGCCCTGCTCTCAGATCCCCACAGAGAACAGCCTATACTAGGCATGCTGCTGCTAGGAGGAGACCAAAGCATGTCCCCGGTGTTCTTCAGCCTGCCCACAGCTCCGAGATCCTCACAAACTTCCACCTCCCAGAAAAGCGCCCTGCTGACGAGAAGCTCCCCACACTCACAAGGGACAGGATGGAGAAGAGGAGCTGGAGCAGTTCCGGGGCATTCGGGTCCTGCAAAATAAGCTTCAGCTTCCCCTGGATATGGAGAAAAATTGAAAAGCAAGGGCAGTACTTAGTGGTGGTCTTGGCCCTCCCCTCCCTGCACAGCATAGCTCGGCTCCTGTGGAGGCTAGTGCACGAAGCAGAGACGGTGCAAACTTCCCTGCTCCTGGGGCTCTGCAACAAGCATGCCCAGCTTGCCAGGGCAAGGTGCCATTGGTCTCAGATCCCTGCAGCAGACCCTGCTTGCTCCGTAAAAGGGAGGGTCTTAGCCCTGAGCTGGCAGAAGCCCCAGGGCACTGTCATGGCTTGGGCACCCCCTGCCTGCACGAAGGGTCAGACAAGGGCACATAAAGTGGGCTCCAGCACTAGCAAATGGAGCTCATGGGGACGGCAGTGCAAGATCAGGCCTTGCTGGTCCATCAGCCCTCCTGCTGCCTGCAGCAGAGCAGAGCATAGTGCTGTTTGCCTGCTAACTGCTGCCAGAAATGTCTCCCTAGTTTCTGTGCTGGGCCCCGGCAGTGGTCTGGGTCCCATGGCACTGCCAGGAAGCTGTGGTTTTGTCATGCTGAACCTGCCTTGTTTTGCTCACTAAGCAGATCCCCTGGAGCGCCTGCACCTCTGGACTGGGACACACGGGACTGACTGGGCACGTAGGAACTCTCCTACAGGCCTTTATACCACAGTCCTCTCCACGTGGCCCCCGTTGGACTGGTGCCCTCTGCTAACCGGGTCAGGCTGTGCCAGGGCTGTGTCTGCAGACACACAATGGGCTCTGTCCTGCTGCCCAGGGGGCTCTATGCTAGGGGCTGGAGCAGTGGAGGAGGGCTCCTGGCCTGCCTGCCCAGCCAGACCTACCAGGAGGTTGCAGGCATATTTGATCTTCCGGAAGCAGGCCTGGTACTCGAGCTCTGGGAGCAGCACTGCAGGGACAGAGAGAGGACAGACTGGATGGAGCCCTCTGCCTCGGTGCTGGGCTCTGGTACCCCCGTCCCCAGTGCTGCAGTGCACAGACCGACAGGCATGGACACGGTTTGGCCTCCCCACCCTACCAGCTCCCCCTGTGCGTAGCTCCTTTCGAAGAGATGGAGCCCGTCTGTCTGCCCATGCATCCCCTGCCTCCTTGGTATCTCAGCCCAGATCTCCAAGGCTGCCACTCTCCCTCCCCTCCGCCTCCCAGCAGCTGAGATCAGCGGGTAGCTCTGGGCATGGCTCTGGAGACAGCAGAGGGGGTGAGGCTGGACACCTGGCATTGGTGAGTGGAAGCCTGAGCAGCCCAGACCCTGCAGGGCACACTTGTAGGAGCTGTGCCCAGGCACCCAGCTCCATATCTGAGGTTAATGCTTGGCCTGAGTTCTTGCCCACTAATCCCTATGGAGCCCTCCTGTCTCCTAGCCTCCTCTCACCTCCTTTGTGCTTGCCCTTCTTCTTTGTCTTCTTCTTTTTGGTGTTCAATGTACCACTTGCCTCCTTCACCTTTGCCACGAACAGCTCGATGTCGTTCAGCACATGGTTCAGAATCTCCTGCAGGCACAGACCCACCCGCCGCGTCAGGGGCCTCCAGCCAGGAGATGCCATCTGCCCTTCCCAGCCCTGAGCTCTGGGATCCTGCCAGGGCATAGGAGCCGGGGCAAGGTCTGTCCCCAGCACCCTAGGGTCTATCAGCTGAAGACCAGCCCAGGGACTATGTGGTGGTTGATGCTGCTGCCAACCTGCAAACCTTTGGGGTCAGCTCAGCCCTTCTCCTGATGGTTCCTCCCATGAAGGGTGGCCTCTTGGGGCCTGCCAGGACACCCCTGAAATCTGCTTTCACCTGGGGTCCAAGCCAGCGCTACAGACTTTGAGGTTCAGAAGCAGTTTGACGTTTTGGTGCATCTCACCCAAACTAGAATGAGCTCAGACCCACTGCTCCCACCCCGGGGAACTGCTTCAGAGCCCCCTTGGGCACTGAGGGCCCATACAAGGCTACTGCCAGCACAGGGCAGCATGGTGGGGGCGAGAGGGCAGGGCACTTACAGAATCTCTGTCCAAGTTCTCCTGTTTCTGTCTGCTGTCATCCATCCATTCTGGCTGATCTCTCTCCTTTGGGTAGTAATGCTGGTCAAATGCAGGTGCTGCAATGCCCCGTATAAGGAGGTGCTCAGCCTGCAACTCAGCCTGAGACCCACTTGCAGGTAGTCAGCAATTAAGAGTCTGCCTGGCTGGGATCCAGTTGCAAGTGATGAGGAGGGAATGAGGGTGGAGCTGCAGAGGGGCTTAAAAGCTTCAGAAGCAGAGTGCAAAGGGGGAGTGAAGGCTTCTTAGGGTCTGGCTTTTGTAGGGGCAGGTTTTCCTCATGGAAAACAAATGGCCTGGAAACCCAGAACATAGGGTGGGCTGGCCTTGGGAAGGAGGAAGCTGAGTGAATGATCTACTTATACTGGAAGGCATCACAGTGGGAGTTTGCATCTGCTCCTGCTGTGCTGTTACTGTCTCATCCTTCCTTATACTACCTCCCCATCCTGCTGGAGCCTCTCCCAGCATTTCCCAGACCTCCTGAGTTTCATGGGGACCCTGCCCCAATTTCCTAGCTACGGAGAAGGAAAGGAGGCGGATTCTGGGAAGTGACTTGCCTGCACTGATGCAGCAACGCAGTGGCCAGGCTGGGAATGGGACCCAGGAGTCCAGAGTCCAACTTGCGCTGCCTACCACCTCTCCTTCACAATACTTCCTGCTGTGTTTCCCTTGGCCTGTGTAACATGACCTCCCTCTCCTGCCCGTGCTAGTCACTGGCTCCCTCCTTGGCGTGCATGGGGCTAACTCCCTTGGTGTGCAGGCCCATTTACCAAAGTCCATGGAGAGAAAGGAATACCATGGGGACTCCTGGTTTTTGCCACCCACCTGGTTGTGGGGGACCAAAAGGATCCTGGATGCTGTGGTTGGATCTCTGCTGGGACAGCATGGTCTCCACGCTGTTCCTGGGGAAAGGCAACAAGGGAACGAGCTTGTGGCTGGCTTTCTCGGACCACTGCTTTGCAGAGGGGTGAGAGGACAAACCCTGCTCTCTGGGGGACGAGTTTTCCTCCAAGAGGAAGGGAAGACCCAGGGGGAGGGCATGGTCCCACCACCACCTCGGGATGGGGTTGGAGGAACGGATCCCACCTCCAAGGGGTGTTTGGGACTCCCCAGTGCACAGAAGCACCAGAGGCTGCCGTCTGGACCTGGGTCATGGTCAGTCCAATGTGGTCTGTGCAAAGTGGGGAATAGCGCTGGGACTTTACGTGGGTTCCTCCCTGGAAAACCAGGGTAGGGGTGAAGGGGTGTTAAATGCCCAGCTGGGAATCTGGGGATGGCTGTCTGGGAAAAGCCTGGGGGTGCCCCCATGGGAGGCAGGCTAGGGGGTCTGTCACCTCCTGGTATCCCCTGGAGGCAGGCGCTCTATGCCATTACCTCAGCATGTGCTGGTTTTCCAGTTCACTCTTCCACTCCTTGACGGCCTTGTCCAGGTTGGTTTTCATCATCTCGGCCTGATGGGATGGGAAGAGCAGCAGGGCAGAGCCATGAGTCCCCTAGCATGGCACAATCCCTTGCCCTCAGCTGGCATTGCGCAGCCCCTAGGAACCTCCTACCAGCTGGGAGACACCCTACGGCTTCCTGCCCCAGGACTGTCAGTCCCTGCCGCTGGGTCCCTGTGAGACTCTCCTGGCAGTTGTGGGGCACTGACACACAGTCCTGACTCCATCCAGTAGACGGCAACTCATACCCCTTGGTCTAACCCCACCCCAGCAAATCTCCCAGTCCCCCTGGGGTTCCCTTAGCTGTTGCCCTCCCCCAGAGGCGGCACAAGGTGGCAGTGCCGATGCAGCTCACCCCGTTCTGCGTGCACTGGAAGAGGAGGATGCTGATCTCTTGGCGGCTCCTGTCCTTCAGGGTGATGGCCAGGATGGAGTCGTAGGTGCAGCTGTCCAGGACGGCCGTGCATCTCAGGACGCACTCCAGGGGGAAGCTCTCCAGCTCGTCCTGCGAGGGCCCCGCCAGAGGGAGGGAAGAAGTCAGCAGCACAGTGGGGGATCTCTGCTCTGCCCCAGGCTGGGAGCCTGGTGTCCCTCCCAGGTGGCAGACATCAGGACACATGGGGTGAAGGAAAAGGGCTGTGTTTGCTCACTGCCCCCAAGTGAGCAGTGGCCCAGTGGGAGAAGGGGTGCGGGATAAGGAAGGGAAAACATGTTTAGCCTAAGTACTACTTGCCATCAGCAGCCTGGAGCTGCGCTAATGGTGGTGGCAGTGACAGAAAACTACCAGCAAAGTTGCTAGGGAGGTTTGCTGTGCAGGCTACGGCTGCCGTCTGCAGAAGGTTCGAGAGGCAGAAATCCAGTGCACAGAAACTCCAGGCAGCCCGGCAGGGCTGTGGGTG